GATCGGATTTAAACCAAATTTATATGGGACCACTTGTGAGGTAACACTTTTCCTTTGAAAAAAAATTATATAAATTAGTTGACGTGGTCCAAACCATTCTTGTTTAGGCGCGTCTGCTAACACCAGGCGCCTAAATACATGCTATGTACTGCTGCATGTGCAAAAATTTCCTTTATGCAACTTAGGAAATTTTTGCACATGCACTTCTCAACTGCCAAGTAATTGAACTTTCTTAAGTTTCAATAAGATGGCACTTCAAAGTATGCTCGGCCTAGTCTGATGCATCCTCCGGACACTGCTTCCGGAGCATATTGCGGACTCTGCATGACTTAAAACCATGCAGAGGTGGCAAACGAACTTTGCCATTGGCCACAGTGCCTACCCACCATTTTTGAACCAATAAATATTTTTTTTTATAAATACATACATGCTAATACTGGTCTCCCCTCTCACTGAGTTATTCTAGTCCACACAGCATCTCATCTGAGTTTTTTTCAACGGACTCAACCAATCGTCACCAGCATCACGTTCGTCCACATAGCATCACAGCAACTGCCACAACCAACGTGCCACAAGAGCCACAGCAAGCGTTTTTTTCTTTGGTTTTTGCTACACAAGCAACGTTTTGGTTTGCATCACAGCATCACGCTTGCATCACAGCACCACTACTCACCACAAAACCACCCAACCCAAAACTAATAGTACGTAACTTTTTACACCTACGGACATAACTACGAGACTCATTTACAGAATGACTCGTTTCTCGGCTAATCGCGCACATGCAGAAGAACGCGCTGATAAATTCACGGTTCTATGCCGGCTATGCGGCGGAGCGCATGGCATTCGACTATGCCCCCTTTACCGCGGCAAAGCGGTCGAAGCAAGGCTGCGTGCAGTCCTGCTGCATAAATATTGCCCAAACTGCCTCTCGCCGTTCCACCGCCTCGACATGTGCAGCAGCACGGATCGATGCCACCGATGTCGCGAAAAGCATCACACCTCGCTCCATCTCGATGACTGCGAAGACCAAAGGCACCCAGCGAACGCGATCAACGACGGCGAGAGCTCGGACGGGGCACTCTCTATCGACGTTACGGAGCAGACGAAGTCGTGGGCGCAGCAGGTCGAAGAGGATGAGTTAGAGGGGTCAGAGAGGACAGACTCTTCCCCACATGAGCGACAAAAGCGCAACTCTGGAACTGGCACACCGAGACCGTTAGACAAGTTACAACCACGCGCGGGCGACGCGGAAACTCGTTCTTTCCGCTCGCCAACGCGTGCACAACACAACTGGCGCGACGCGGAAACTCGTCCTTTCCGCTCGCAAATGCGTCAGCAATACAACCGACGCGACGCGGAAACTCGTCCTTTCCGCTCGCAAACGCGTCAACAACACAACTGGCGGCAACACGGCGGCGCGGAAACCAGTCCTTTCCGCCCGGCATCACGATCGCCACGCAAGCCAAAACGACACGACGGCGCGGAAACTCGTACTTTCCGCTCGTCTAAGCGATCGTCTAGGCTACGCAAAGCAGCACCATACCACAAAACGCGCACAAACGACAGCAACATCAATAGTCGTGCCTTACAACGCGCTCCACCGACCGGCTTCCGAACGGGCCGCCTAGTGCAAAGCGCCATATCAACGCCGATCATTCGTGCGCTTATCCCCATCGCGCCGACCGCAATAGTGCGGATTGAAGCAAGGGGCCGCCTTCATTTGGTTCGCGCAATGATTGACCCTTGCGCACCAAACTCATTGGTTGATTCGGAACTGGTGAGAGATCTCCAACTGGAACGCAACGGATCCGGACGTCTGCAGCGTTGCACGGTCACCATGCGAGGAAGATACAGCAGCTCCGACCGCATTACGACCCAAGCAGTCGTGCTGGACCACCATATACGTCTGAGTCCACCGTCGAACCTGGACCCTAAGGTTGCGGCCCCGTTCCAGTTCATGCGCTTGGCGGATCCGCAATTCTTCCGCGCGTCACCAATACGCCTCACACTGGGCCTCGATCTGCATGCGCTGATGATGGTGAGCGGGACCCCCCATCCACCGTGGGCGGTCTCCTGGTCCAGGCGACCATATACGGTCTGGTTGTTTCGGGAGCCTGCCAACCATAAACGTAGAGATTAAGAAGACAAAACCACACATACACACACACTCATCACACACATACCTAAAAATTTAAATAAAAAAAGTGCATTGAAATTTCAAACCACGTCTGTTTCAATTAACAATGTCCTTTTCTCCACAGCCTCAGATGAACCGGTCGCGACGAAAGCGTTGGCGATTAAGCAGCCCCGCGCAGTACAAAATCCGCGCTGCATATTATAGTTAGTCCTTAAGACTTTCCTCACGTGCGTGTGACGGTTGAGACGCGACTCCTTTTCTTTTTCATAGCTTGCTTACCGCAAGGGGGCCGGTATGTTTAGGTCCGCGACCTAAATATATTGCACCACCCTAATCCGCGTTTTGTCACTTGATGTAAGAGCACACAAACACATACATAAGTTACGGCTATCTTTCCAGCCGCTAACAACAAGCCCCACTGTACGGTAACTTATTGGAGGGGAAACTTAACGAAAGTTACTGTGCGGTGGGCTACATCCCTTTTCGTTTGTTGGCACTTTTTCACTTCTTAGAAGACAGCAAGGAGATCACGTCAGCCATCACACCACGTTCGGTAAGCCAACTCTTGTGAGCCACACTATTCAACCTCATAGATATTTACAAATAAAACGATTTTTAATTTCACTGCACTAAAACCACTGTGTCTTTTATTTTCTCCTATTTTCGTTACACTAACTTTACGCTGGTGCGCTCCATCTTCGTGCGACGCCACCTGCGTAAATAATTCTCCTTTTTGGGCAGTCGGTTAAAAATAAGCATTTTCCAAATCAAACTCTTTTAACGAGCAAAATTAATTTTTTTGAGCAATCATATTTCAAGTAACTCGATTAATCATCGTTTTGAATAATCAAAATCTTGATTACGCGAGTAATTGATTAACCGCATAAAAGATTAACTAACTTTCTCGAATAATCGCACTGCCCTAATATGTACATATGTACGTATGTATATATTTATACGTATTTTTCATTTGAAGGAGCTACATACATATGTATATACTTATTTACGTCGTATGTACTACACAGTACGTACTTGTTTGGCATTTTATTTTTAACTGACTTCACAAAAAGGAGCAGGCTATCAATTCGTCGGAATATATATTTTTTTATGTATGTTACCGCATAACTTTGGACAACGTTAACCGATTTCTATAAATATTTTTTTTTTAAAGGAAAAGTGTGACCTCACAGGCGGTCCCATACTAATTTAAATCCGATCATTGGATCATGAAGAAATTAAAGATTATCTTAAATTTTTATATGGGAATTGAAGTCGGTTTAGTTTTTTGCTTAAAAATTACTTGTTATTAATAAGAAAAATATTGAATGTACATACAAACATACTTATAAAAACATTCGTTTGGAATCAAAGCAAACTCGAAAGAAATGAACAAAGTTATTCAGATTTCAAATGATTTTTTTTTTTTTGAGTTAACAGTAATTACTTAGAATCTGATCAATCAGAATCTGACTAATCAAATTATTTTATTACATTCGACTTTCTCGGGCAACACTGGCCACAAGGCCTATCGGCAGTCTACCACTTTTGTGGTAGTTGTACCACTGAGGGCGTCACAATGCGTCGACTTTTAACATTTTCCACATTTCTTCATTGTAAGTGCAGAAAGGACCATATGTACACATATGAAATTTCATTACTACTTTTGGCCGCAGCTTATATGGGGACGTCCCACTGTGCGGCGTCGCGGCGCCACAAGGCCCATCGGTAGTGTGCGGACTATACCACTTTTGTGGTAGATCTATCTCTTTTTTTTGCTAAAAAACCTTAAAATCTACCACATTTTAAAATAATTTCTTATTTACAATGTGGACAATTTTTCCACCCCCAAATTTCTGTTAATTTTATGTACTATTGTGAATTAGACAGTGTGAATGCGACATTTCCGCTAATTTTTGCATTCCATATTCTAATTAATTCGTGTTAGTATGTCTATTATGGGTCAACACATGGCTAATTTGCTAATAGTGCTCTACACCGTATGTATTTGCTTATGTAAATGCTACTTTTCTGATACGTTCTAATATACTGGACATACGAGTATATACAAAAAAAGTAGCATTTACCTATGCAAATACATATAGCGTAAGAACGCTGTAAGTGCTAGGGTCAGTGAATTGACGTAATTCGGCTGCGAAACCAATAGCGTTAGGCCGTCTGCACACGGGTCGTATAGCTTTAGACGCGTAGTATATGCTACATACGAAAGTTGTACGCTTTGATGCCGCACACGTGCATTTAAATGGAGGGCTGTATACGAGTCGTCGCTTCACGAATTCGTAAAAGCAAGCTAGCTGCAAATCGCTTGGCGTACAGCAGTGCGGGTACCTAGGCGTACGTACGCTTAGAAAAGAGAAAGAAGAAGAAATTTGTTTACAATTTCCCATGTGGGTGCTTGCATTTCATAAAAAAAAACGATAAAACAACAAAATTCGTGCAAAGAATAGAAAAATAACTGAAAATTAATTAAAGAAATAATAATTTTGCATCACTTAACATTTTTTGCATTATACTTTGACGCTATTAAGTTGCTTCGTATGCAGATCTTGAGGCGTAGAGGAATCATTGCTGCAAACAAAATTTTATACGCGGCTAAAGCTATACGAAACGTGTGCAGACTGCCTTACCGTGGAAACACAATGCCGGCAAACGGCGAACTCACCACAGCGAAATTACCGCTGTCTAAATTAGAACACCCGCCGCGGCATATGAAATTGAACACAGCCAAAGCGAAATACGAAGTTCGCTCGGCGGCGTTTCGTGGCGATAGATTTATTTCTATCGCTCTGCTGGGCGATGGCGGCAGTACATGCCAAAGGTGGCCGTATGTTTTTTTACTTTCAAAGATTTAGAAGAAAACAGCATGTAACACGAATTATTTTTGATGGTTGAAAAATACAGTGAACGATTCGTTAAATCTGGCTTAAAATAAAATAATTTATAATAATTCCCCCTTGCCTTATATTTATATTTAGTTTCATTTCATCATTTCTAAATATGGTTTCGTTTTTCAAAATATGGTCACCTCACTTATAAGTGCGACGAAATGGTATCAGCTGTTTTCGCTACCGCTCTAATTCTGTTAAAGTTGGCGAAATAGCAGGGCGAACGGTGAACGACGGCATAGCCCAATTCGGCAAACTTCGCCGTTCGCCGGGTATTGTGTTTCAAGCATTAGAGTGAACTGTATGGACAAATTCGTGATACGCCTCAACTACTTTTCGTTGATTTCAACTCACTACTTTTACATTGTGATTTCCAAAAATTCTTCTTTATTGGCGCTGCAACCACCTAAGCGATTTTGGCCGAGTATAGAAAAGCACGTCAGTCGTTTCTCTTCTGTGCCAACTGACGCCAATTGGAAATGCCTTGTGAAGCCAAGTCCTTCTCCACCTCGTCTTTCCAACGCAGAGCAGGCCTTCCTCTTCCTCTGTTACCAGCATCGAGAACCGCATTGAATACTTTCAGAGCTGGAACGTTTGTGTCCATTTGATCGACATGACCTAGCCAGCGAAGTCGCTGAATTTTAATTCGCTGCAATACGTCTATGTCGTTGTAAAGCTCATACAGCTCATCGTTAAATCGTCTGCGGTATTCGTCATCGCTAACGCGCAAAGGCCCATAAATCTTGCGCAGAATCTTTCTTTTGAAAACTCTAAGAGCCGCTCATCAGATGTTTTCATTGTCCATGCCTCCGCGCCATACACCAGCACAGGCATGATGAGTGACTTATAGTGTGATTTTTGTACGACGAGAGAGGACTTTGCTTCTCAACTGCCTACTCAGTCCAAAGTAGCACTTGTTGGCAAGAGTGATTCTCCGTTGGATTTCAAGGCTGACATTAATATTGGTATTAATGCTGGTTCCCAAATAAACGAAGTCGTCTACTATTTCAAACTTGTAACTATCAACAGTGACGTGGGTGCCAAGACGCGAATGCTCTGACTGTTTGTGTGATGACATAAGATACTTATTTTGTCCTCGTTCACCACCAGACCCATTCGCTTTGCTTCTCTATCTAATCCCGACAAGGAAGAGGATGGTTCCGTATGCAGAAGTCCACGTAAGTGGGAAACACGTTTGACTGCCATATACCTGGGAGTAGCCAGAAGTGATTCTTGTGTGTACGGTTCAAATCGCAGCTCACAACGTTCGGATATTTATATCCACGTATCCTCTAGCGACCAAACACCCGTTTGGGAGCGAGCTAAAGTGAGAAGGCGTAAACTCCGCGTGCGCTGGAAATGGCAATATATGTACGTGTCATAACCTTAATTCATAAAGGCCCTAACCACCACTTTTTTCGAAACTGCGTTTTTCACAGATTTTTTTAGTATGTATTTAAATACACCTGCACTCAAAATTTTAAAGCGTTAGTACCAAGAACAATGGAGTTACGTGCTACTTTTTAAAAGCCCTACTTCCCCGTTTTTGATCCTCGTGTAACCGACTTAAAAAATGGAGGGGTATCATTTCGTCGGAATATTTTTTTTACCTTCCTTTTATTAGCTCGGGATGTAACTATGTAATATTGATGCGCCTAAAAGATGCAGCGATTTCTATTCTCAAGTTACATACCTGATGACAGTACGAATGGCAATTATAATAGGGGGGTTTTAGTTTCTAAAACTATAATTTTATTTTATTTATGTTACGGCAGTTTAGATCATTGGATCATGAAGAAATTAACGGTACTCTTTAAATTTTTATATGAGAAATGACGGCGGTTTTGTATTTGCTTAAAAATTACTGTTTTTTTGCTTCTGTGAAATAAAAAATTTGTTGGTTAGGGCCTTTGTGAATTAAGGTAACGATATGTAGATACATAATTGTTTTTTATTTTTAAATACAAGTATTTTCGTTGAAAGTGAAAATTGTAAAACAAATTATATAAACACACACATTTCTTCGGTTAAGCCTTGCATGACTTTGGGACGAATTAAAAATTAGTCGTAATAAGCGGGCTAAAAGTTTATTATTTTAGTAGTCGACTAAGAAATTCTCGACAGGGTAGTAATACATATAAAGAATGGACACGAAAAATTTTGGTGAGCCGAAAATCATTATAACAACATATTACACAACCTAAGAAAAAAGATTTCTGTTTTATCATCTTCTTTATTAAGCTAACTATATTAAACAAAAAAACTTTTTTCAATTATCTTCATTATAAACAAAATGGCGCCATTTACATTTGAGCCCTCTCATTAAGCTATGGACACCCGTTTTTGTGACGGTATCTGCTGCTCTCTGCCAATTAATTTCGAAATGCTACTAATTTTAGATGTCTTCTTTCGTTTTTAACTATTTTCTTTCTATAATTTTCAACGGGTCGCCATTGTGAAGAGTTTGATGGGTTATGGTCCTTTTGAACAATATCTACCCCATATCTGACATACCAGTTCATGGCAACAAGGCTGTAATGGCTCAATGCTAACTCGCGTCAGAACAGAACTGAGCCTTTATGTTGCTTTATGAACGACAGCAAACGTTATTGCAAACACTTTTTCATATAAATTTCTTGATTTTTAGAGCCCGTGATCAGCGTTGCCATTTTAGCCGTTTTCCGGCTAGATTTAGCCGGTTTTGATAGCAACTAGCCGGAGAAAATTCGATCTAGCCGGCAGCCGATTTGTTAGCCGGTTTGTAAAAAAAAGTTTGCCGTTTTTAGCCGATTTTACTATTTGCCTAATTTTCAGGTGCAAAAAGTAAACAAGTTGTTCGAAAGCAATAATGCAGACCCAATGAAGATTTTTAATAAACTCAATGTTTTACTTTCGCATCTATGCTCCCTAGTGGTTATTAGCGCGGACACATTTGATCCTATATGCTCCCCGTTGGAACCATACCTTGCTCCATTTCCTCAGTTTTATCACAGTTTTGAAGAGTATTTAAAAACAAAAGTAAGCACAAACGCTTTTGACCACGAAGCCGAGAAAATAATTCGAGAAAATGGTCGCTATTTTATTATCACTTTAATAAAGGAATTACGCCAACGCCTCCCTACAAATATTGCCACACTAAAAAAAATTGACTTTTTTCGGTTGGAAATGCATTAAGAGTAATTAAACCAAAAGTATTTGTTCAACTACAGCAACAAAAACACAAATATAATGACGACGAATAAACATCCATAGAGATGCAATGGCAACGGTTAACGTTACATACCTGGAGTAATTTAGACTCAACTGTAAAATTTTGGGCCGAAGTTTATCAATTTCGAAATGCCCTAGGAGAAAACCCTTTTGCTGACCTTGGCAACCTAGTTTTTAGTTTTCATGTTTTGCCTATAAGTAATGCAGAAGTAGTAGAGTGAATATTTAGTTCAATGAATATAATAAAAACTAAGCAAAGAAATCCAATGTGCGTTAAAACGTTAAACGCTATTTTATATATAAGATACGGTTTAAAACGTGAAGAAAAATGCTGCCATAATTTTACTGTAGATGACGATCTCTTAAAATTAATGAATTCAGGTGATATATACAATAGTGATTCATTTGATGATGAGGAATATACACTCGATATAAATTAATGGTGTTAACTAGTATTTCGTTTCTTGCGATTTATTTTTTTGCTCTTCGTGCCACACTGGCAGAGTGCTTGCCACACCAAGTATATATTAGGCCAAAAAATAACAAAAACCAAGGAGCTTGTCCAACATTTTAAGCTTGAAGGCATCTTGGACTTTATTTGTCTTCGTTGCATTATAAAGCTCAGCGCCCCGAGCCTACTTAAAGATTGCTTCGACGTACATATGTTTCCTCGTCCACACATACTTTTTCTTGCTTTTTACACAAAATTTTCTCCGCAAGCTCACACTTCGCCGAACATATTTCGAAGAATACGTAGAAGTTACAAAAAGTAGATAAGCGAAATTAATAACGACAAAGTACTCTATGAATGTGTATACTTACTTTACATTTACAGTTAGCTTTACGCAAGTGGTGAGTAAATATAATCGACTAGTTTTTTTCGTGTCCATTCTTTATGTAAATATGTATGTATTTCAAAGTATTTTATCTTTTATATACTAATAAAAGACGCGATAGACTTGAAGATTTTGCATATTAATACCTACCTTTATGTAAATCTACCACATTCTTTGGAATCGACCTCAATTTTTAAGGCTTTTCTACCACAAAAAATATTTATAGTCCGCACACTGCCTATCGGCATAAATCTTTAATACATACTTACATAGATACTCATGATTTCATGCCACATTTATGCCACCCGTGTGCTCTTAGTTCGATTACCGCAGCTGGCCACAGTGATGGAAAAGTAGGCACAATAGTGCCATTTTTGCCGCTTGCATTCACAGAGGCACTTTTGGCACAATTCATTTAGTTTTGGCTCAATCATATATTATAGAAATTTAGCATAATATGCCAATATATAACAAACTATCACATATAAGTAATAGATCCGAAAAATTAAAATTAAGATAATTTAAAACGGAAAACAAAGGCCATTATATGAAATTAATTAAAATTAATCAATGTAGAGAAGAATAGTCAAAGCTGGTCAAAATGTCACGCTGCTTTATAGGTAAATGAGTAAATAGCTATATTTCAATGTTTTCCTCCTTCGTAATTGAATATTGAGCCGTATGCATAAAAATTAAGCAACTGCTTTTTCTTAAAATTTCACTTTAATTTATTTGAACAAATCAAGTGAAAGATCCGAATTTGTATAAATTTCCAAAAAATAACAACAATTTTGATAAATTATAAAAAAAACTCCCGCGCATAGCGGAATTCATTATCAGTTTCTAAGTGGAGAAAATTATATTCAAACGTGTTTTTCTTCTCAAATGTTTTATGGTTTTATTAAAGTAAAATAGACGCGTGGATTTAGTGCTGATACACATCGTTTTTAAATCAAAACTTGGTAGGCAAAAAGGAATTTCGGTCGAATTTTTATACTAGGTATGGGGCTTTTCCATGCAACAGCCTTGTAAATGAAATGATAGTGTGCGCGGGAGGTATTTTCACGAACCAACAAAAATATCGCCAAAAAAGTAATATATGGACAAAAGTTCATTAAATGCAAGCACAGGCAAATCAAAATTTAAAAAATCATAACCCTAATCTACATTTCTAATCCGATTTTCATTATCTTTGGGTCAAAATTTAATGTAATGATATATCCTCTTTATCGAATTTTTAAAATAATGAAAAAAAAAATAATCAAATGAAGCTGCGTATTTGATTGAAAATCTCACTTTTTTGGACTTTGACGACAAAATGCAAATGGTCGCCTGTAGCACTAATAATTATCATTGAAGTCGCTACAAGTTATATATTTTGGTAAGAGGCACATCAATACCCTTCGAGCTGTAAGTCGCTTACGTTGATTGGGAGATTTTTTCATTAGATATTGAAGAAAAGCTACGAAAAGTACCAAAAAACACTTTTTTGAAAAAATCTATCCATTATCCGATAATTTTAAAATAACGAATAAAATCCGGGACAAATGCAGGACACTTGGAAAAAAGCAGTATATTTTCAGGATTTTTAAATTTGAAAAATTACGCAGGACCGACCTTTGAAAAACAGTACGGTCCTGCAAAAAACAGAACGGATGGTCACCGTAGGTATACCACACCCAGCGGTTTTAAAGTCGTAATAATTCTTAAACAATAAAAACGATCTAGTTCGTTTTCTCAGTAGCTATAAATTCAACGTTGCCGTTCAGATTAGCGCAATTGAATAAGTCCAGCTTTCGACTAGGGATGTAAAACAACATCGATGTATCGAGCAACATCGATGGTCGTGGCTTCAAACATCGATATTTGTCGATGTTTTTACGAATCCGATGTTAAATCAAACCATCAAAGATGTTTCTTGACTATTTTTTCACCATTTCATTTTATGCGCGCTTTAAAATTTTGTGCCAGCGATTAATAAGTACTTTCGTGGAATCATGCCCAAGTATGTTTCTTTAATAAATTTCCATATTACATTCAATAAATGTTGATATGTTTACGTATATAAGTAAGAAATACTTAAATTAGTTTATAAGTAGCCGCGGGATTTTTGGTAAAAATAAACTGCAGATTCAGATTCCTCGTGTCCTAGTGCCCCCAGAAAGGTCTTTTGATGGTATATATATTTGCATTTTAATCACTTTTAATTATTTTAAATACTGCACTACGGCTTCCAACTCCAAATTGAAAAACACGCTAAAAATCGCCAACGTGGGAAAACAGAAATTAATTTTCTTTATACATACCACTCAGACTTTTAGAAAAACTTGGTTTCATCAATTCCCCAGCCGACTGCCGAATAATATGATCCAAGGAATTAATAATTATTATATTATTTCAGTGTACTTTAAAAATACTATTTTTGAAGATACATATATATATCTAATTCTAATGTTGTGGTACTTTCATCTCCTTTTCGGCACTATTTTTGCAGTCCATTAGGCACATTTTGAAATTTTGAAATTCCATCTCTGCTTCGCCACATATCACTACTTTGCTTTGAGTTTACTTGCCAGCCTGTGTCGCTGACTGCTTCGGTCTTGGTCTCCACTTTGCTTATCTCTTCGCATACACACGTTCATTTTTGTTTAGCGTAAGTTGCCCTGCTGCTCATTATTTGTTTGAGCGTCGCCGTGTTAAGTTGTAAAAAGAATTTTGAAATCGCACCGCTCTTCGTAGTCGTCGGTGGCGCGCGATGGAGAGTGAAAAATATGCATGTTTCATTTATTAGAAAAGAAAAAAGATCAAATATTAATTAATTCGTCCAGCAAGGAAATTTTAGAAAACACAGTGATTTTTTCATACTGGATATGTAGATAGCTATTGCAATTGAAAAAACAAAACCAAAAGTATAAAACCCTAACAACCAAGCGTACTAACGCTTAAACTAAATCATCGGCGTCCATTGTCACCACAGCTGAAGACTCTGTCGCCGCCTCCTCCGTGTTCATCGTTGTTTCCGAAGTCGAATTCGAAGTTTTACCCGTTGTCGTCTTCGTCTACGTTTATGTTGTTCTCGCCATCGTACCTCTCGCTCGCGACATTTTATACTGTGCATAATCATAATAATTATTATTAGTTGTTATTGGCTTTCGCTGTTACTGGTGTTGTTGCCACATTTGTGATTACATATGGATGTATATTTAAAGCAATAAAATTGTACCATTACTACAAAAAAAGTTATAATAAAAATTTTAGAGAAAAGACAACACTACGTAGACAAATAAGTGAGGCGATCAACAAAAGCAGAAACACTTACAAATAATAAGAGGAAAAAATTTGTATATCAAATAATACAATCATACAAACCTATGAATATCCGTAGCCATGTGCATATGCTAAATGCCTCTCTTCTTTGTCGCTGAATAAATGATTTATAAGTAATTAGTGCAAAGATGAAGAGTGTAGTGTGTGGTGATATTCATACATATATATGTACATACTATGTATGTATGTATGTACATACATGCATTTGGATGAGAGATGTATTATAATGCAAATTATTGTGCTTATGCATTTAAAATAAAAAGTTCAATTTAAACAGTGATGAGTATTGTACTGAGGCTTTCAGTTTGTGTTTGAGTTCGTGCAGTTTTTTAAACCTACAATTGTAAAATAGGTTTGAACTGATTTCACTAAAAATGTACTTGTTCCTCCATCCAACTACTTGGCTTCACTTTTTCTATCATGAATTCTGCTAATTAAAGATACATATACCTAGCCACGGTCTAGTGGTGTGTAGATCACCATCATTAGTGCCGCATCGAAATGGAAGTAATCAAATCAATGGATTTTAGCAGTTTTTCTGCATTTTGCGAGAACTTGGATAAATCTACGAAAAAAGTTGCAAATTCTACCACTGCCTCAGTAACGGGATCAACAGCAGGCATAGTACAAACCCCAACAGAAAACGGTGCGGGTGGTGCAATGACTACGTTAGCAGCGCCACCCCCTTTTCCAAGCTACATTAACGGCAACGGTAACAGCCAGAATTTTGAGGTACTAAGATAGTATTATTGCAATATTAAGTAGGTAATTCGGCCTATGTTTGTGTTAGTTACGACAAAAAAA